CTCATCTTCCCTCCCACCACAGACAGGAGCAGGGCCCCGGTCACCGGGCCTCCCGCCTGGCGACAGCTCTGTGGACAGACCCCACCCAGAGCGCTGAAGCAGGGCCCGGAAGACGCCAGCCCACGTGGTCCCCGCACCCGGCCTCTGTCCCTCACCTTAATGCACCTGGCGTACGCCGCCAGCACCTGCTCCACCTGGCTGGCTTTCCTGGGTTCTTGGAAGATCTGGGGGTAGAGACAGCGTCCCAGCAAAGGGCCGAGGAGCGTGGGGTCTCCCATGGGCTCGGGGGCTTGGTCTGCACCCCACGGACAGCCACCCAGGACATGCAGCTTCCAGAGGCGGGAGATGGACGTGGTGCGCGTGCGCGACCAGGGGAAGCGGAACCATTGCGTTTAGGGAGCGTGAGCACTCCAGCCGGAGCTTGGGGGCACTGCCGCCCTGGGAGGACGTGTGCCAGCGAAGGGCCGCTCACCTTTTTCCTGACAGCCAGGCGGGCCAGCATGCCACTCTTGTCCCAGTGGGCAAGGACCTGGTGCTGGTACTCGTAGGAAGGGAAGAAGCAGACCAGCCCTCCAGGGACCACGCTGCACAGGTTACAGAGAATGCGCCCCGTCTCGTCCACCTGGGAGGCAGACGGCCCTGTGGAGCAGGTGCTTGGGACACCACAGCCTGCGCTCCCAGCTGAGAGCAGAGCTGGGCCTGGGACATGGCCGGGCCCGGGACGGCAACGGCCACCTGGCCCTGTGAGTGGAGTCGGAAGGCGGATGTGCCAGCCTCCTGCCAACCCTGCCCGCCCAGTGCTAGCGGTGACCACAGGCCCAATGCCAGCTCCGCAGAGAAGACACGCTCGCTCCGTCCTTAGGGGACACCTGGAGGGCTGAAGCAACTTACTCAGCGTCTCAGGGACAGGGCAGCGCATGGCTTCCCTGAGAAACACCTACAGGGATGCCCCTAGTGGGGCACCAGCGGGAACGGGCGCCCCAGTACCCACTTCCCCAGTGCCCGGACCGGCCAGCATGCCCTAGGCGCCGTGCCGTGCCCTGGAGGGGCTGCAGGCCGCCGGCCGGCACCCACCAGCGCAGGCAGCGCTCTCTTCTGGTAGGTGAACTCCAGCGGCTGGCTGGTGGGCCCGCTGCACAGGACGAGGGGCAGGATGTTGTCTGGCGGGATCACGTGGCCTGGCGAGACGGGGAGTGGCTGGAAACGGTTCCCCAAGGCAGGCCCAGGGAGGGTGTCCCCACCGTCTCCCAGGTAGGAAGAGGGATACAGCCCTCACTGGGGGCCCCTGGGGTGCAATAAAGGTGGGCGATGCGGATGGCAGGTCACAGAGCGTGAAAACAGGAGGCGAGCTGGTGACAAGCCCCCCTGTGGTGTCCCCACCCAGGGCCCGGCAGGCGGCAAAACCCCGTGGGTGAGCAGAGGTCACAGCGCGGGGCTCTGCCCACCCCGCCCGGCACGCGGCCGCTCACCACAGGAGAACTCCACCACTCGCTCCGCTTCCGCGCCCGCGCAGGCCAGCAGCTGCTCCCGGAAGTCAGACACCTGCGGGCCACAGTTTTGCGGTATGTGACGTGCAGAGGACTAGGGAAGGCACCGCGGGCGGGCCTTGGCACGAGGGCATGGAGGCTCGGGGGGCAGCCAGACACTGCACAGGAAAGAGCCAGGAAAGGCTGACGACGAATTATGAAAACAGCTGCTCAGGAGCTGCAGCCTCCTCAGACAGCCGTGCGAACACAGGACATGCGGCGGTTCGGCATAGGCCGTCTCACCCCTGGCTTTGGATCGCACTCACTACAGGGAAAACTTTTAAATCCACACGGCCCAGCCCCAGTCACGGAAGAAGAATCACCTATCCAACTGGCAAAGACCCAAAAGCTTCACCGCTCTGGAGGAACAGACCTTCCCAGACGCTGCCGGTGGGCTACACAACAGCCACGACCCCTAGGAGGGGACTTTTACCGCATTTAGCAAGTTAGAAGCAGTTTCACTTTTGTAAACCCAGCAATTCCACATGGAGGAGTCTACCCTGAAAAGACAGCTCGGAGAGAAAACTTAACCATGCGAAGGGTTTTCCCTGGGAAGCTGTGCGCACTGCAAGCCTGCCGCGGGAGGGAGGCCGCCTGCCCGGGGAGCTGTGCTTCCTCCGCCCCACACGGAGCCCGAGGTCCGCTCCAGCCTGCACAGCGCACCACGCTACTGGACAGCGACCGCCAGCACACACACACGCAACTGCGGACCCACTGCCTTTCGTGGGAACAGCAAAGAGTAGGCCGTACTCGTTTTAACAAAAAAGTAATTTCGAAGATCTCTCCAACAAGACACCCTGCGGTGCCACCCGACAGAATCGCCAGAAGCGAGAGCGCCCGCCGGTGACACGGTCCCACGGGGCGGGGAACGTGGGCTGAGGGGCGGGCTGAGGTTCCCCGACTGTGCTTTTTAGTAGAGTTTTAACTTCCGAACTGCAAGGGGGGCTACGTGCTTTAAGAACATAATTAGGGCAAAAGGGAAAAAAGCAACTCTACACGGAAACCAGGGAGTTCCCAGTGACCTGCTGCACTCCCAAGAGAAGCACGCCAAGAGAAGCCCGATCGCAGCCAACTCTGAACCCTGCCAGGGCGGACACGCGGGCCAAGAGATGAGCCTGTGATCGGCAGATTTCCTGCTAGAACAATGACGGAACTTTGAAGCCATCTCAAGTACACTGAGAGATTCAACAGTTACAGTTATGTTAATCTAGTAAGAAGCCAAATGTTCACGCAGCACCCAGATGTCACAGACACTGTTCTGTTGTCACTGAACACACACTTATTTACTCCGCCACGCCCCGTCTGCCCTGAGAAAGATACAAGGGCAAGTAAGTTAACTCTTTGATTCTGACTCAGGAATATCAATACCCACTCCCGCTTTTCAAAACACATCTCCTGGGTGTCCCTACCACGCAGCCCATGCATGACAGTCGGGAGCAAGCGGGCGCCCTGGCACCAAGGGCCACGTGCCGCCCTCCACTGAAACGTCGCTCTGTTGTGCGTGAACGTAAGGAGACATCAGGCCCGGGTCCCGCCCACAGGACCCGGAGGGCAGGCAGGGGCTCCCCATGCTGATTTTGAGAAAATCTGATCAGCAAAGCAAAGTAGAGAACTTTGAGGCACAGGAGGAATAAAAATCTAGAAATCTGGAAATAAAGAACAGCCCTACAGCGGTGCCTGCAGCAGGCAGCAGAGGCTGAGGACGGCCCTCGGGAGCCCGGCAGCACAGCGCGTCTGCAGCGCGCAGCTGGGAAAGAGCTCCGGGCAGAGACTCGCACACTTACGCTGTTCAGAGCAGAGAGAGACCGGGAGCCAGGACAGCTCAGGAGGAGGGGAGGGTCTAGGGAAGGTAACCGCGGGCAGAGCCCGGGGGATGTTCTGGCCGGGGTCTGGATGTCCCCCAAAGCCTCATGCTGTCATGGGGGCGTTTTCAGAGGTGCTGAATCTAGCGTGTGACTGAGTCACGGTGCGATGCTTGGGTTAAGGCTGGGTGGTTACTCCATCAATCCGCTGATTGGTCGGCCCCGCGCTAACCCAGCGCACCGAGACAGCACAAGGGACAGGAAGAGGCTGTCTTCTCCCGCCTTGCTTGCTTTTTCTGTCTTCTGCTTGCCACGAGCTGGTTCTCTTCCGAGCTGCCGCTCTGCCAAGCCACCCTGCCTGGGACCCACCGATTACGGGCCAAAACCTCTGCACACTGAGCTCAACAAAGCTTTCCCCCTTAACTCTGGGAGTTGTGTCTCAGCAATGAGGGAAAAAAGACAGGGGAGGAAGTTTATCCCTGCTGAGGAGGAAGGTACTCATGGTGTTTTGCTTCTGAGTAAAAAGCAGACCGTACTAGCGAATACAGGTAATTCCATCTTTGTTTTTAAAATAAGCACACACCTATGAAATAACCCCAGAAAGGCCACTGCCACAATGTACAACATCATTCATCTCTGCATGAAATCGTGACCTCTTTCCCCTCATAGCTATTCTCCCTGCTTTCTACCATGAAACCTAAGGAATCCGCACTAGGACAAGCTCAGAGGGCTGGCACCTCCCTGGTGGGGCAGGAAGGGTCCTCAGGGGGGCTCCCAGCTCTGGGACACAGAATGGCTGGGTGAAGCCTCTGCAGGGCCACCTAGTGGACACTGCTGGGCCTGCGTGTGCCACCTCGGGTTGGGGACCAGGAGGACAGACAGGCAGGACACCTGACTGATGCTGCATCCTTACCCTGATCGACCCCAGCACCTGGGGCACCAGAGGCTGGGGCTGGGGTCCTTACCGGCTGCATGGTGCCACCTGCAATGACCACCGCCCGGCATTCCTTCACCACCTGGGCAAAGTGCACAGCTGGATTCAGGAGCAAGAATTTGAGGCTGCTCTGGCTGAGGCTGCCTGAAAGGGGGACAGACAGGGAGGGGTCAGCCTGGGCACTGGGCTCCCGGGTGCCGCGCACGACACGCACGGGCTGGCACGGGGAGTCCAGCCCCACCTTCCCTCCGGGATGAGCGCCAAGGTAGACAGTGCTGCCGTCTCCCTCACAGACAGACAGACACAGAGACAGACAGACCGACACACACACACACACACACACCCAGGTGCATAGAGAGAAACGGGTCCAGGTCACACAGCCTGAAGGCAACTTCCTGCCCTTAGGGCCACGGCCCAACCTGGCCACGGAACAGCCATCGGTCGCCCATTGCACACTTCTCCCTGCTAAGGCGGGCAGGGGTGGGATGCGCCCGAGCCCCCCCACCGTCCCCGGTGCGGCTCCCTGCTGCGCGGTACCTTGGCGGCTCAGGATGACCCTGCCGTCCTGGCTGGCGGTGGTGAGGGCCGCGAGGAAGCCTTCGATGTGCATCAGCGGGGAAGCGGCCCGCGTGGGCCCGACCTCGGCCTCCTCCAGGGGCGCGGCGGGCGCTGTGCAGGCGGGAGGACGGAGGACGGGACCTGTGTGAGGTCGGGCGCAGCACCGCCCGGGCCTGCAGCCAGCTCGGCCTCCTGCCCTGACTCACCCTCGCTCACCGCGGGCTGCACGCTCTGCAGGAAGCGCTGGAGCCCGGCCAGCCCGGACGGCTCCCGGGGCGGCGGGAGGACGGCGCCGTAGCGTTCCGTGAAGCCGCAGAGCTGGCGGAGGGGAGAGAGGGTGGCAGCGTGACACAGGACTCCACACAGCTGCAGCCCGTGCTGCCCCAGCCTGAGGAGCAGACAGGGACGAGCTGGGGTCCCCGAGGCAGGAGACGGGGCAGGGAGGCCGGGCAGGGGCCGCACCTTCCTGCTGACCTTGCTCCTCTCGCAGTACCGCTGCACCTGCAAGGGAGACGGGGTGAGGAGGGGGCACTGTGACCCGCACTTCAGAGACAGGGCTGGCCACGGGCTGGGGACCCTGTGCGCGTGGGACTCGGGGCAGAAAGGAGGCAGGTGACTCAGTTTCCAGCAGTGACCTAAAGGGGACGTCGCGAAAAGCTGGCCCGCAGGACAACGCAGCAGGAAGGGGCACTGCGGGGTGCTGGCTCGGGCAGCGGGGCGCGGCACTGTCCTGCGGCCCCCACCCGTGCCCGTCCTGGAACACAGTGAGTCCTCCGCACAGAGGCAGCTGACACTGCAGCCGCTGGGCTGTGATTCGAGCGACAGTGGCCGCACACCCCGCGGGAGAGCCGGACAGTTCTTAGGCTGTGCTGATCGTAGATAGGGGCTGCTGCAGCTGATACTAAGGACACGCGATGCGTCAGGACCAGAGGGTGGCGCCCTACCTTGAACAGGTTGATGTTGTCCACCTGGCTCTGGAAGAGGAAGTCGTTGATGGTCTTCAGCTCTGTCCCTGAAAGAAGACAAAGGACCTGGGAGCCTGCTCCGGAGCCCGGGTCATCTGGGCCGCTGAGCACCCCCTCACCTGTCTGCGAGAGGCTCTGTGTATTGGGGTTCTGCTTGATGTTCCCTAAGAGAAAAATAAACAGGTCAGAGTGCCCCCACTTCTCCGCCTTCTCATCATCCCCATGACGCTCATCGGACTACGCGTTCCCATCTCCACGCGCTCTGGTGCCTGGTTTGCTTTTGGTCATTTACAGCAGGCAAAGAACGCACGGAGAGGGCAGGAGGCTGCAGGCTGCCTCAAGGGCCCGACACACACGGAAGCCATTTCCTTCCTCCCACGCCTCCTCCCGGGCAGGGCAGAGGCCCCCCACTGTGTGCGGTGCAGGGAGCAGACCGGAGGGGCTGGGTGCCCTGTGCGGGGCAGGATCCCTCTGCAGAACCCCCCCGGCTCCTCGCCACACAACCAGGCCAGGGGTCCGCAGCGGGACCACGCAAGAAGCACGGGCTCTCCGCCCAGTCACCCAATAGGATCCAGGGTTCAAAGGCACAGGCTGCTGCCCGCATGGGACAAATGAAACTGGCCGTGCAAGGGCGCTGGACATGCTGCAGGACTGAGACCCGGTCACAAAATGTCACGCTTTGTCATGCGTGGAGAAGAGTGTGGTGGAGGAAAGGGCACACAGGGGCCGGGGGTGTAGCTCAGTAGTGCAGCGCCTGCCTGGCGAGTGCAAGGTCCTCAGTTCGATTCCAGTACCAAAACAAAGAGAAGGAAGGGCACAGGATGTGGGCAGATGAACTGGCTGTAAGGTCAGGCTGCTCGATTACGCAGAGGAAGGAGCATTTCACAGACCAAAGCCCGAGACAGCTGACACCAAGAAGACCTCGGGGTCCCCAGCGGCAGCCAAGGAAAAGGCGGGCGGCCGGGGAGGTGCCTGCCTACCTCCCAGCACAGCCACGAACTTCTCCAGCAAGTACAGGATCTGCTTGATGTACATCAGGTTCTTGGCCTTCAGACGCTTCCTGAGGAGAAGCCCACACACTGACTGGGGACGCACACAGCGCCCCTCCGCCGGCCCAGCTGAGGCTTTCCTGTCTGCCGCGCCCCGCACTGCGTCACACACTATACCACCCCCAGAAGGAAGGCCGGCCAGCGCGGAGAGCCCGCAGTCCTGTCCCAGGCAGGCGAGGCCGGGTGGCGGCACCCACAACAGACACGGGACCTGGACGCCAAGGTGGCCCTGCGTGAGCCTGGCCAGGGGCAGCGAGCCGAGCGCGCCCTCTAGAGGCTGACAGTCCCTCCGCCACGGGGCTGTCTCACCTGTACCGCTCCATGTACTGCAGCAACTGGGAGTGGGCCTGGCAGAGCTGGGGACACAGCACCGACAACAGAATGACGTCAGAACAGGCTCTGGACAAGCAGCCGAGGGCTGTGCCCGGGCGCACTGACGCTGCGCCCAGAAAACGCCAGCTCGGGACTCGGCGCCGTCAGGGTCCTGGGGAGGGGAACTGGGAGCCCGTGGAGTGTGGGTCTGTGGCCCTCAGGCTGGTGGAGCTGAGGGGACAGAAGTTCTGCCCAGCGTGCAGCCGCCTCCGGGCTGGGCAAAGTGAGGACTAAAACCCTCAGGTAAGGCGTCTCCCCGCTGGCTCTCACCAGGCGGGGGAAGGGCTGGTTTCCCACGAGCCATGCTCACGGTAAGCACTGCACACCAGCCGAAGGTCGCCCGGCCTGGCTTGCAGGTGTGACACCCCGGGGAAGGACGCTGGCCCGCAGGCCGACCCACCTGGGACCCGCTGACCGCCGTGCTGTGGATGCCCGTGATGGTGTCGATCAGGTTGTGCGCCTCGTCGATGATGACGACCTGGCCCTGCAGGCGGACGCCCGCGGCCTGCCGCGTGGCGGCGTGCAGCAGCATCGGGTAGGGCAGCACCACCAACTGGGGGGGAGGCGGCAGCTGGGGCGGTGGCCGGGCTGGGCCCGCAGGGAACCTGCCCCCCGTCTGGGGCCCGACAGCAGCTGTGCTGCCTCCTGCCCGGACATGTGCAGGGGATCAGGACAGAAAGCTGCCGCGGACCTGCGGCTGCAGCATCACCCCTCTCAGAAGCAGACACAGCAGACTGGGGGCTGACTGATTCGGAAGCAGGCCGAGGATGACAATGGGGAACCCCTGCTGCCGAGCCTCGCCTAAGTCCCGGGGCAGCCCTGAGGCCCCAGGGACCAACGACAACCTCTCGTGCTGGACCGCAGCGCCCCGGCCTTCCCAGCCGCGTGGCTCTGGGACGGCTGTCTAACCGGAGCCGCAGGTTCCTCACCTGCCAAGTGGCTCCATAAACTCTATGTCCACGGAGGGCTGAGGAGTGGAGGGGACTTAACCAGACAAAAGCGTTCTGTCCGTCCTGGGCCACGTGGGCGCGTCCTCCCAGGCTGAAGGACAGGGACGCCGTCACGCTCCCCAGCCGCGCGCTCACCTGGGCCGCAGGGATGGCGAGCCGGCTCCCGTAATAGGGGCAGCCGCGGGCCTCCCTCCCGAGGGCCAGCAGCTGCTCCATGTCCTTCGCCTCCACCAGGATCTCGTCCCGGAGCAGCTGCGTCTGCTCGCGGCCGTGGAAGGGGCAGGCGGCCCGGCCCTCCCGCCGCCGTCTCTTCGGCTCGTCCGCCTCAGCTCCGCTCTTACTCTCTGCGAGGTACAGGCCCAGGGGGGAAGACAGGAGGGACCGAGAGTCTCGCCGTGACCGGGAGGGCGCAGGGGCGCGGAGGCCCTCCACGGGCCGGGTGTGATGGACCCTCCCCACCCCGCTGAGCTGGCCTAGCGGCTCGCTCAGCACGCGCCTCATCTGATGCTACCTTACGTTTTCCATAAACGGCCTGGGGACAGGGCTCTGCAAGGACCGGAATTAAGACGCCTGTCCTCCTCGGGCGAGGACCAGGCCCGCCGTGCCACTGTTTGTGTGCAGACCCTACGGCCCTGGTCTAAGCCCCTCCGGCCCTCTGTAACCTCCCTGTCCCCGCCCCAGCGCCTACCAGGCCGGCTCCTCTGCATCTCCACGCAGCGGTCGTTGATCAGCTGCACAGAACCCAGGCCCCTCACGTCCTCGTTCACACAGAGGTTCTAGAGCCAGGAGGAGGAGGTGAAGAGACGCCGAGAGCAGCACGCAGCCCGCGGGCCCCCCCGGCCCCTCCTCCCCGGGGAGCGGCAGGCAGGGTGCGGGCTGTGCGGCGCGGCTCAGCGCCTCGGCCCGCTCCTTCCAAGCCTGGACCCGAAGACACAGGCACGGCGAGGGGCGGAAGGGCACGGGCCCGCACAGCTGACGCTGCCCACCTGCCGGGAGCCGAGGGTCACCAGCCGCGTCTCCTTGCCGAAGGGGCTCTTCCGAACTTCCTGCACGAACTGGGCCAGCTGCGAGTGCGTCCGGCTGCAGTAGTAAATCTGCGCAGGGCAGACGCAGGGGAAGGCAAGGGGCACAGACAGCCCCAGGCGCTCCCCGCATGGAGGCCTACCGGCCTGTGGGGCTGGGGTGGCGGCTGCAAACGCAGCTCTCTAGCGACAGCGGCATCCCCCCGCCCCCGCCACGTCGGACAGCACCACGGGAGCCCACCGTGCAACCTCAGCCAGGCAGAGCCTCTGACGGGACGGCGCGGGGTCCCGCTGCTGCCGGGTCTCGTGTGGCACAGACCCCTCAGCTCCCGGGACAGCGCGGAGGGAGGGCTGCTCTCACACACCACCCGAGCGAGGGGCGGGGCAAGGCCGAGCCGGACACGCCCTCTCCTCCCGGATTTCAGTGAGGACGGAAAAGGTGCCAATGGCGCCTGCGTGCGTGTGTGCAGGGCAGCCCCACACGGGAGCTCCGGGGCCTGGGCATCTCACCTTCATGACATGCTCCTCCTCCAGGTCTTCCTCGTCCTCGTCCGCCCTGAGACACAGAACACACAGCAGTCTTCCCTCAGCAAACTCAGCTCCAGGGAGGGACAGCAAGTGAGGAGCCCTGGGCACTCACAGAGGGAGCCCTGCTCCCAGACCCCAACGGCGGGCAGGAAGCTCAGGCCGGGATGGCAGAGCCCCAGCCCGCAGCCAGGCTCCCCACAACCACAGGGCCGCTCCCAGGAGCCCCTGTGAGCGCCATCCCCACGTCCCCTGCTGCTCAGGTCCCTGTGAACCAGGGGCTGCGGGGAGGGAGGGAAAGGGGCTCCGGGTCCCCAAGCCCAAGCCACAACCCAGGGGCCTGGACTCAAAACAAGAGCAATTCTAAGAAAGGGCTGGGGTGTGGCTCAGTGACAGGCGCAGGGCCCGGCTCCGCTCGCGGGAGGTTCTTGTCCTCGCAGCAGCCGAAGGCCAGCCGTTGACGAAGACAGAACAGACTTGAACCCGAGCAGGTCTCTGAGCAAAATGCAGTGGGGTGCTGATACCCGGGCTGCTACAGGGGCTGAGCTGGGCCTTGCAGGAGGGGGCGACACTTGCCAGGGAAGGCGGAAGGACCTTGGTGACAGTGGGAAGGCGGTGCCAGGCCCCAGGGAGCGGGGAGGCCTGGCGCAGGGACGGGCAGGGCGGCTGGGGGACTGCGAGGTGCTGAGGTGTTGGAGGCGCCTGCTCTGCGAGGGCTGCACTCGTCCCTCCTGTGTCCGTGTAGGGCTCCAGCCTCAGGGACACGCAGACAGACACAGGGACAGCAGTGTCACCGACGGCGAGGGACACACCGGTCCCACCGGGCCAGACCTCTACCAAGCTGGGGCCGAAGCGGGGCGACTCCGCAGGGATGCACACATGCTCAGGAAGAGCCTTCCTTTTGCTTATTGCTTTGCTATCCTCCATGGCCATGAGCTGTTGCCCTCTGCCATGTGCCGCTCTGCCCTGGAGCCAGCCAAGTAGGGACTGAAACCTCCACATACTGTAAGCTAAATAAACCCTTCCTTCCTTAACTCTGGGTCTCAGGTGTTTTGTCTGAGCAACAAGAGAAGCGTAACCAAGAGAGGCAGCGTCTGTCACTGGTCACGGGAAAGGGGACACGTCCAGGTGCTGCAGGAATTGCAGTGAGAAAGGAGGCTCCAGGGATCCTGGGGCACCCAGCCAGGGAAGCTCTGAGGGAGAAACCTCCCCGTCTGCCCACGGGGCCTGCGGGAGGAGCAGGACGGGGGCAGAGAGGCCTCAAGTGCTGGGGCCATGCACACCGCCATGTGCAGGCTGGCAGGTGAGCCCGTGGGACCGAGCTGGCTTGGCACGTCAGGCCCGGGAGGGAACCCCCAGGCAGGGACTGCAGGCGGGGACACAGGGGACATGCAGCCGCTGTCTCACCCACGGGTCGCCCGCCTCTCCTCGTCGCTGGCGTACTCCGCCAGCACCAGCTCTTCCTCCCCGGGCTCCAGCTGCTCCAGCTGCTCCGCGCCTGGCCCCTCAGCCAGCATCTCCCTGCTGAGGCGGAGCAGAGCCTCCGTCTCCTCTTCTTCCTGCCTCTGCACGGCAGGACAGGAGAGAATCAGCCCAGCACCGGGGCCGGGTCCCTGGTGGCCCGACTGTCACCAGGGCGCCCCCCACGTGGCCCATGGACAGCCTCGCTGCTGCACTGGGAGGAACCCAGTCCTGGACTCTGCGTCTCAGCCACTCGGCTGCCCGGCGCGGGGAAGGAGGACGTGGCCGGGGGCACACAGCGCAGTCTGAGGCCTGGCCGCCCAGCCGTCTCCTCGGTGAGGACACCCACCCGGCGCCGGGCTGCGTGCTTGAGCTGCGTGTTGTGGCGCATCTGCTGCAGCCGCTCCTCTCGCTTCCTCCTCCTGATCTGTTCCTCCTGGGGGGACACGGCTGTGAGGAGACGCGTGCAGGGACCCCACCAGCCTCTAGAGCACCGGGGGGCTGCAGCAGCCTCTCCGGGGCCCTCAAGCTCAGCAAATGAGCTGGGCGGCTTGGCCCGGGAAGTCCGCACCCTCCCAGACCACAGCCTGCTCGGACTCCTCCCCCCGCTGCACAGGCCGGTGCCACCGGCAGCCACCAGGGTATGGCGCCTGGCGACAGGAGGACAGGCGACCTTGGCTCACAAGGACACAGAGGCCGCTCCAGGACTGGAGGACACCACCCAGACTCACCTTCACTCGCTCCGCCAGGTCCCTTTCCTCCTTCCTCTGCACAAACTGGGTGACCCAGTCTGGCTCTCCTCCAGGCCTCGGGGCGGTGGGGGGTGCCCGGCAGGAAGATGGGGTTGCAGGACGCAGGTCCTGCCCCTCAGGCAAGGGGCCGGCTCTAGGCTCAAGGAGACAGCGCGCCTCTTCTTGCCGTTTCCTCTGCTCAAAGTCTCGGAGCCAGGTCAGGGCGCCGCAGATGAGACTCAGGGACTTTCCCTGGGGGAAGGAAGCGGCTGGGAAACACAGGGCCCAGCACCGCGCCTCCCAAGGCCTCTCCTCTTGTATCTGCGGTGCTCCACGCGGCCCGTTCACTCCAGGCGAGCGCTCTACCACTGGGCTGCAACCCCAGATCTTTCATATTTTCTTTTACTTCTGAAACAGGGTCTTGATACCTGACCAGGCTGGATGTGCCCCTTTGACCCACCTGGCTCAGCCTTCCAAGTCACTGAGACTGCAGGACTTTCCCCATTTTGGTAAGGGCTTCAGAGCCCTGGCTTTAAAAATTAGACGGTGCCGAAGACCACCAAGGAAAGGAGCAGGCAGTACATAGCCAGGACAAACAGGAAAAGGGAAAGCAACAAACATTGGGCCCAGCAGCAGGAGAGCTCTGTTTTCACTATGTAGATCATCATTCTGAAAAGAACTTACAGTGGTCTGTGGCTTGGACACAAATTCTGCATAGTAACAAATAGTGATAAAGAATTAGCCTAGTGGCTCTGCTCAAAGAATTAAGGTACGTATCCCTGGGATACGATGTCTTTAACTCTTTGGAGAAGATACCCAGAAGGGGAACAGCTGAGTCAAATGGAATTTCTACTTATACTTTAGTTTTTTTTTTTTTGGTACCAGGAATTGAACTGAGGACCTTGCGCTTGCCAGGCAGGCACTTGCGCCACTGGGCTATTTCCCCTGCCATCTACTTTTAGTTTTTTGAGGAATCTCCACACTGACTTCCATGGTGATTGTACCAGTTCACACTTCTGCCCATAGTGGAGAAGGGGTCCCTTTCCCTCCGCCTCACCAGAACTGAGTCCTCTGGAGGAAAATGGATGTACCTTGAGCTCGTAAGGTTAAGTGAAATAAATCAGACACACAAGCTTAAACGTCACGTGGTTTCTCAGGAGAAACCCAAAATATATATAAAGAGCAAATTAGGACAGAAAACAGGAAATAGTGAGGCAGATGGGAAGAGGACCGAGAGATGGAGAAGGAGAGAGGGCGGGGAGGGGGAGGGGCGAGGGGAGTTAAGAGGCGAGGAGAGGAACCTTCGTGCTGCCGGCCACCGTCCCGCGTCACGCAGACTCACCGTGCCCGTGGGACTCTCGAATATCCCGATCTTGCCCGCCTCCAACACCTGGTACAGCTCTGCCATGAAGTCCTTCTGGATGGAGTAGGGCGGGAAGGGAAAGGGGAAATGGACACCACCAGCTTCCTGGGTTTCATCAGCCATGGTTCTAGGGGAAAGAAATGCAGAAATGTGTTAAGTGCTACCTCTGCAGAGCAGCGAAGCGGTGCCTCGCGCACTCCACACTGGCCGCAGACGTGCGCTGGGCGGCACACTTCACGGCCAGCAGGGCCCACGGTCTCCCCCGTGCTGTGCACCTGCAGGAGCCCGCAGCAACCCACGCATCTCATCCAGAGCCTTCATCCGCAGTGCCTACAGCAGAAGGGGCCCAAGAAAGCCCCCAAGCAGATCCCCACTAGCTCACGGCTGCCTGGATACCTTTCTAATACTTCTCTGTAGAAGGCTGGCGCTGGCAAGTCCTCTGCAGCATCTCCTCGCAGTCCTCTGCCACGCGGCCCTCGCAGACCCACGCTGCCTCACTTCTCCTGTGGGGAAGGCCCAGGAAACCCCCGGCACCAGCAGAGTCAACGGCAAGGCTTGTTCAGAAGGCGCAACGGACACGCACAGCCCTCCTTCACAGACACAGCCTTTGTCCTCCCTCTCCAGGCAAGGCCTCAGAGCAACTCCTTCATTTCATCTTTTCTCTCCTCTTCTGAAACTTTCTGAGATAGCCCTGCACGTTCTCTCCTCCTTTAACTGCCATCTGGGGGACTGGTTCTTATATTTTGCTTCCCACAGCTCTATTTTGGAAGTAATTTCTCTAAGATATTTGATAGGTCCATTATATATATATGTATGATGTCTAAAACCCATCCTACTAATACATCTTCATGCTATTAATCTCTACAATACCATACAGCTGTCGGATGGCAATGTATACTGAAATTAAATAATTGCTGCACATCCAGGAAGATGGTGGAGTGGGGAGCAGCAGAGAAACAGCCTCTCCAATAGCTGGAATCTGGGTGCTGGAATGCAGCAATGTGAAGAGGAGGAGGAGGAGGGAAGTGGGTCTGTGGGACTCAGAGGGGATCTGAGAATTAGAGCCCACGGGGAGAGTGAAGAGGGGACACAGCGCGGAACAGGGAGGTGGCCAGCAGTGCTTTCTCCCCGAGCCCACGCTTATCGCGTAGGAGGGGCAGATGAACCCACAGAGGCACAGTGACTACTGGCGACCCAAGAGGCCTCCACGGAGAGACACAGTAGTGGAACAGAGCAGTGGATGCTGTGGACTGAGGTGGCTGCTGAGTTATTCAGGTTCAGGCATTCTCCAGGAGAGAATGATTGCTCAGCAGCCATTCTGGAAAGGAGCCAACAGAAGTCAGAGCTCAGAACACCTGGAGGGTTGGCTCCACCTAGTGGCTGCAAGTGTCAGAGTGAAGTGCAAACAATTTCAAGCTGGTAGAAGGTCAGGGAGCAGGATGCAAGCCAGCAAGGAGCTGAGTCCAAGCAGGCAGGCAGCAGAGTTCAAGTCTGCAGGAGGCACTTGCAGTGTTGTGGGCTGAAAAACTCAGATGCAAGCCTCACAGCCAGAAACCAGAAGCAGCCTGAACTTCAGGGCAACACAGGTCCAAGTTTCCTGGGATTATCCACCGCCACAATTCTACTGCTGGCTTGCAGGAATCAGTCAACATGCATCTGAGCTCTATCTGCCCCCTCTGTCAATCAGTGACAGCAGAGACACACCCTAAAGTGGACATGTTTTTTCAACTTTTCTTCCTTTGTTTTTTAATTTTTTTAAACTTTTAAAATTTTTTATTTTTATTTCCTATTTTTTCTTTCTCTCGTTATTTCTTGTTTTTATACCAGAATATGTTCCTCATTATGAATTTTTTCTGTTTGTCTCTTTTTCTCCCTTTCTTTCTCTCCCATCTTCTTCACCATTACTAATTTTTTGTTTGTCTCTTTTTCTCCCTTTCTTTCTCTCCTATCTTCTTCACCAGTTTCCACCGCCTGTGTAATCTTCCTTTGTCCTCCAGTCTCGCTTCTAATCCCTTTCTATTCTTCCATTTCTCTATTTTTTTCCCTAGTCCCGCTCTAATTTTTTTTCCTGACGGTAAAATTGCCACATCGAGGGGACATTTACTATGCAGAATTTTCTGGTTTGTTTTTTTTATTTGGTATGTCACTACAAGTCCTGTTCATACAGTTCAGGGTGGCAAATTAACAGTTACCAATCTTGTCATTTCCTAGGGAGTGTTGGATGCTTGCTATTACTCATTGTACTACTTTAGCCAAGGCCACATAACGGGTCTAATCAGCTGTTCTTCCTTATGTGCCAAGACCGAGACTGCCTGAGCATCATAAACTACTGTAGGCCAGTGCCAAAGCACCAGGAGCTAGAAGGCCAAATAGGCAGCAACTTCTCAACCCCAATACTTTAAGAGGTAGGATCTTACAAAAGAATCAAAACCCAAAAGTCAGCTACAACTGGAAGACATCTCTGAGAAGTAGGTATTTCCTAAGGATTCTCGATACTAGCAATAAAGATACATGCCATAAACAATTTACAAGCATCAACGCAGAAATTAAACTGAAATAAAAAATAGAAAATGAGAAGACACAGAAGCCAGACACAATCCCAGATTTACAGCTCCCCAAAGGCAAACCCAGGGAGCATTGAGGTAGGACAATTCAAAAACCACCCGCCTAGACTCTCTGAAGTGGTATCAGTGGAAGTAACAAAGTAAATGAGTGAGGCTCTAGAAAAAAAATCAAATCAAAATAATTTCTCAGATAACTTCAGAGATGATGGGATAATGACAGGCATGAGTAGGGATTCTAGAGAAGATAAACAAAAAACATAGAGGCGCTCAGGAAAATAATGGAAAACCATGAATACCCAACATAGGAAAGAAACGAAATCCATGAAACAGATTCAAACAGATGTGCAGGAAATTAAAAATTCCACTGAAAGGATACACAGCAGAATGAGCCAATTTGTGGACAGAATATCAGATCTAGAAGGAAGAATTGTGGTTAGTGATCATGAAAAGAAAGATTTGTGAAAAATAGCAAGGGACATTACAAAATCAATCCACTAGCTGCTAGATCATAAAAAGAAGAGTAACCTATGATTGAATGAAGTCAATGAAAAAGCAGGATATATGCAAACAACATAAAAAATCTATTTACTGAAGTAATGGCAGAAAACTTCCCAAACATAAAAAAAGAATTTGACATACAAATAAGTAAGGCATAAACAACTCCAAACAGTAATGATCAAAAAAAAAAAAAAAAATACCCTAAGCCAGGCACAGTGGCACATACCTATAATTCCAGCACTCAGAAGGTTGAGGCAGGAGAATTGTCATGAGTTTGAGGCCAGCCTGGGCTACATGAGTTCAAGGCCAGTCAACACTACAGAGCAACAACTTATCTCAAAAAACAAACAAAATCTACCCCAAGGCATATAACAGTCAAGTTAAAAAATATTAATGGACATGAAAAAACAGTCAAGATTCCAGAAATTGAACACAAAAACAGAATATTAAAAGCTGTTAGAGAAAAATAAATCACCTTTAAAGGAAGGTCATCAGAACTGCAGCAGACTTCCCAACACAAATCCTTAAGTTAAGGAGAGCTTGCAGTGAAGTATTTCAGGTCCCAAAAGAAAATAACCTCCAATCCATACTGATGTACCCTGCAAAACTCTCTTTCAGAATTCATGGAGAAATAAGCTACTTCCACGCCAAAGAACAACCGAAGAAATTCATGACCACCAAACTGATGCCACAAAGAATAGTGAAAGATATTCTAGACAAAAATAGAAATGACCACAATTCCAAGAACAACAACAAAAAGAAACCACCAGGCAGGGCAAGCAGTTACAGGGAAAAAGCAGGGAAACAACAGTGGGAAAATAACATGACAAAGATGTGCCAATACATACCAGTTACAACCATAAATGTAAATGGCCTTAATTCACCAATCAAAAGAAACAGACTACAGAATGGATCGAGACGCAAGACCTAACAATATGTAGCATACAAGAAACACATTCAACTCAAAAAGTGATCCACAGACTGAAATTGAAAGGATGGGAAACAATATTTCATGCAACAGAAACCCAGAAAAAAGCATGAGTAGCTATTCTATTTACAGACAAAGTGAACTTCAAGCCAAGACTGATCAAAAGAGACAAAGAAGGTCACTACATACTTGTTAAGGGAAAACTGTAAGAGGAAGAGATAACAAGCATAAAAATGCATGCACCAAATACCAGTGCACCCAAATATATTAAACAATATTAATGGATATGAAAAATCATATAATAATGGGGGACCTCAACATCCCACTGTCAAAAATAAATCAACTAGACAAGAAATCAACAAAGAAATATCAGAACTGACACAAACCTGTAAACAAATGGACTTAGTATATGTTTACAGAGGGCTCCATCCAATGACATCAGAATACACATTCTTCTCAGCTGTGCATGGGATGTTCTCCAAAACAGACCACATACTAGCCCACAGAACATGCTTAAACACATGCAAAGGAACTGAAATTATTTCATGTATATTATCAGATCATAGCATCCAAAGCTCAATACTCATTCATGATAAAAATCCTATAGAAAATTGGACTAGACAATCTTTATCTCAATCTGATGAAAGCATTCCATTACAAACAAAAGCCAACTTTATATTAAACAATGAAAAACTGAAAGCTTTCATTCTAAAATCAGCAATAAGACAAGGATGTCCACTTTCACCATTCCTATTCAACATAGTTCTGGAAACATTAGCCAGAACAATTAGACAAGAAAAAGATATAAAAGGAATAAGGACAGAAAAGAAAGAAGTTAAACTATCATTATTTGTGCATGACATGATACTCTACACAGATGACACCAAATGTTCACCAAAAGACTAGATTTAATAACTGAATTCAATAGCACAGCTGGATACAAAATTCACAGTATTCCTGTACACAAATAACAAACTCACTGAGAGAAATTACAGAAACGAAGGAGCATCCAAAAAATGGAACATATAGAAATTAACCGAATGAAGGAAATAAAAGACCTTTACATTAAAAACTATGGTACTTGGAAAAAGGAGATCAAAGAGGATATTAGAAAATGGAAGAATATCCTTTTTTCTGGGGTAGTAAGAATCAATATAGTGAAAATGTACATACTCCCAAAATTGTTATACAGATTTAATACCAATAGCACCCTGGAACGCAGGGATGGTTCAAAATACACAAATCAATAAATGTAATATACCATATAAACAGAGCCAAAGACAAACATCACATGATACTCTCAATAAAAACAGAAAAAGCTTTTGATAAAGTCCATCATTCATTCATGATAAAAAGCCTACAGAAAATCAAAATAGATGGTCTTTACCTCAATCTGATAAAAACCATCTATGAAAAACCAACAGCCAACATCATGCTAAATGGACAAAAACTGAAAGCTTTCACTATAAAATCAGGAATAAGACAAGGATGTCCACTGTCACCACTCTTCTTC